TTTCAGAAAAACCTAATCCCTAAGAATATTTTACTATTAACTACTTTATAAGTTAAAAACTATATACTTAGTAACTTAAAATATTGTACACTTTTTTGACATTTTTTTATTATTATTATTTTTATAGTGTACTTAGTAAGTTGTGACTTGTGACGAAAACAACCCAGACACTTCTGTATCTGGGTTGTCCCTTCAAGTCCAACTCGCAACTGGCTGGTTTTTGTAAGTAGGTCTGTACAAAATGACAATACGCTACTTGATATTAAACCTGCCGCCATTTACGTATAAACCTGCCGCACCAACCATCCTAACCTCGCCGACCTACAAGTTTCTTCACGACTATTTAAATTTTTAAGGGAGGTGTAGGGAAGGGGTGCTACAAATAAATGAGTCGGCAAATCTCTTTATGTGCGTTGGAATGGTGGCCACAGAAGTCGCTGGTAATATATGTAGCTGAGTGAGCTTCGTCTTCAAGTAGGAAAGGGAAATCTGGTTATCAAATGAAAATAGAACAAATTACAAATGTTAATATTAAAAATGTTGACAAGTAAAACGAACTTAATATTTCGGTGAAAATATATTAATAAATATTTATTATTTAATTAAGAATCTATTCTATTAAAATGTAACGCAATTATCGTATGGCTTAGGCTTTAATACTCGTATTACCATAAAAAAACACATGCTAAGATTTGTTTTTGTGATTTACTCCTTTAGCATTTTACTTTTCAGATGAAAAATACTTAATATGCTTGCATTTGGTTCACAATTTCTTTTGAAAAAAAACTTGGATGTGAAGCGTAAGTTCCTAACGTAGTCATAATTTTAAACAATCTCTTAAGGAATTAATTATATTACAATTAATCAGTAACACAACCTCATAATGTAAACATAAGATTGACTGGCATAGAATGCTATTTTAAATTAATTTCATATTTTGAAACAATTTTGAGTTAGTCAATAAAGTTTTAAACAAACCACTTGAAAGTGAGTGAATAAATACCCGGCTGCAATTTACGTCTTCAAATATCACGACGATGGAACTTTTTAAAAAATGTGTCACAACGAAGCATCGATAAAAAGAAAAGCCGATTCAGTGCCAGGTGGTACAGGGCGCTGTCGTCGTGAAAAATGAATAAATGCCTATCTGGGGCACTGCCTCCCCCAATATTCGCGAATGATCGAACTTTTGTTATTCCTAAATCTTTAATGCAATTTCTGATTATGTCTAGACTCTAGAAAAATAATGACGCGGGATTTTTCTAAAATATGAAATTAATTGAAATGAAGAAATCTTATTGGCCACCATAACAATAGAAATTAGGGATGCACGATACCGATACGATAATCGTATATCGGTGATTATCGTAATTTTTTACGATCGTTCATTATCGTAAACATTACGATATGATATATACGGTTCCTTCTTTTCCAGTATTTTTACTTCGAGTGAACCTCCCTTTTGTTTGACATTGACAACTTTGACTTAGAAAATTTAACAGATAACATGAAACAATTAAAAACGATATGTAAATAAAATTAATAATAAAAAAGGCGTCTTGTTTTTATTTTTTTTATTTTACTTAAATTTCAGATTAAAGATTATTTAAGATTGATATAACAACAGACAAAGTTAAGCAAACAAAGCTTTAAATTAATTCAATAAAATGCTTTTAAAGAAAAACCGTAATCCATCTGTATCGTAATTCGTCATCCTATTGGGCCATTACGATGTATTCGCCATTCGTATTGGTATCATAATAGACGTATCGCTGCATCCCTAATAAAAACTACAAATAAAGATAAATAAAAAGAAAACTTAACCTATGACAAAAAGGTAATCTTCTTAGAATATGAATTGATTAGTGAATGCTGGTGCGTGTGTTACAGAACACTTATTCTGTAAGTAACAACACTATAAAAATCTTATTTAATTTAGTAATTTATTGTCTAATTTTCATTGTTGTTTTCACACATAATTCGAATTATTATTCAGTTGATTCCCTTGGCGCAATTTATTTTTATTATTATTTTACAAGTATGTACTTTGATAATATTTTATTTAACTTTAGTACTTACCTACTATTTCACCAATACTTATAATGCTGCTCTCTACAAATCAGATGATGTGTATGACAACTAGATAACAGGTTAAACGATCTAACCTTTTGTACCTAAGTGAACCTAAAAACCAATACATTAATAAAACATTTATGAACTACCTATATTATCTATTTGCTATCTGAGAGGTGTTGTTCAATTGAGCTCATTAGCTGATAACCCTCGATGCGGTACAATGTAGTCATCGACCATTTGGGACTGAATACGTATGATGGCATTGCAAGTAGGAACTGACTTTGAGGTCAAACTCGCAAATGAAGATGCACAACACTTTTTTAACCATTAACACTATTTTGCGTTGTTGTAACCAATTACTAAGATTGCGGTATCAATTAGTCGAATAATTAATCAACTACATAGGTATGTGTGTACATATTCGGAAACACGATGATTGCCGTTCAGGTTTATCGGATTGTCAATACGAGTTATTCGTTTAATGCAGTTTTCTCTTCTAAAATTGATGACTAAATCCTGGCCTACACTACACCTTCTCTCCTATCCTAACCTTTCCTATCCTATCCTATTATAGCCTATCCTACTTCCTATTTCCTTCCTACTAATTTTATAACTACTTTCTCGCAAAAACTACTGAACGGATTTGGATGATGATGAAAATAGTTTATTAGCGGGATTGAGACATTGCATACTTTTCATCCCGGAAAGTTCCTGAGAGATTCCCAAAACAACATGTTAACGCGGACTAAGTCGTATGTGTACACATAATTTGGGAAGTTAATGCTTGGGACCTGTTGTCTTATTTTATGCCTATCACAAAGAAAGTGACAGCATCGACTAACTAAAAATTAACTAACAAAACTTAAAAACGGGTCTGCTTATGCTTCCGATGTGGAGTATCAAACTTTAATAGATCTAATTTAATAAGTTTTATTTTTGTAGCCTGGACACAACAGGGATCTCTAATTTCTCTTGTATTAAAATGATGATTTCGCCATGCTTATCAAATTTTCCGTTAATTTATACAGAATAAAAAATCCCATTTTCGTCGTTCGAGTGCGACCCATACTTGGTATTTATATTCCACAAATGTTTCGCAATAGGAATGATAACGGGGTAAAGTAAGCGAAATTCTATTAAGTCCATCAGTTAGATCATCAAAAAATAATAGAAAATTATTTTTTCTTCTTTCAATCAACCAAAAAATTACAAAGATAAAGCTCGTCAAAGTTTGGGGGTGGGGGTTCGTAACGTCACTTCGAAGTAAAAAAAAATACCAAGACGTGACATCATGCGACAATTAAATATAATTATCTCTGTATTGTTTTGATTTTATGAAAAAGGAAAAAAATACGTGTCCTTTATTTTTTGATAATCTACCTGATAAACGAAGAAAATAAAGTAAGTCATTAACCCTATTATTCATAGATCATAGCTTTTCAAACAATTCAAGTATGTCCTTATGATAAAAAAATATTCGTCATCATACAAACTGTATGGAAATATTCCACGAATAAAAACAGGATAAGTGTTACTGATTTATATTATGTCAAATACATAATGCGGTCCATATATATTACTTTGCATAAATCATCATAATGCCTAACACCTACGTAATTCGTTTAGACAGTGTCTATTTGCCGTACATACGTTATGTTGTGCTGGTTTGGCAAATGAAAAAGTAATTACTTACATCAAAGAAAATTATGCATAACGTACCTACATTATTTCAAAAATATAATATTTAATAAACAATCTATGAAGTTTTTTAACACCTTTAAGCCGAAGCAATTATTATGAAAGTTTTTTAATTTTTTCAAAGATTTTCCCTGAGACGGACAAATATTTTCATTGAGCAGCTTTTCATGTGCCGAACAAGACCGGATAAAATGCAGATTAGTTAATATAAGTACCACAAAATCGACCTTTAGATCGTAATAATTAATACAGTTGGTGGTTTTTTACCCATCATCGCGTTGCAAAACTATATATGTACGTACTCAAATAATACTGTCATTATGTATCAGGTAAGGCTTTTGCAACATGTTCTAATTTTTCTAAGCATTTTTTTTTTAGATTGTTCGAATGCCAAATATCTTTTGATAAGAAAACTTACATGTAAAAAAATTAGTGTTACAAAAGTCTTTGGGATTATTTATCAAAGAGCCATTTTTTTCATTCACAGTAATCCAGGTAGTACTAATGAAGAGTTACTTAAATAAGTAGCTCTTCTTTTTGGTTGTGTATGTAGTACTTATACATAGTAAACGCCGTATTTCCATGAAATCAGTGGGCTATATGTTATATTTTCCAGGAGATGCGAGAGTCAATAACAATATCATTATTCATGAAAAAATAGAAAAGTAACATGAAATATTATTATGTATGTTCCTTTCAGGTTAATTATCCTGATGTAATGAATATACTGCAGTGACTCCGAAATTTAATGTCATATAGAGGCTGCATCTAAATTGGCGCTATTGCATAATGCAAAGATGTTAATACCTAGTTAAGGGAATTTCTGGGATAAAGGAATAACTGACTGTCGTATTTTCTTTCCCTAGGTGTGATCAAGACTTTACGTGCTTTGGTGAGATTGTGTTTCTTTTATCGATGCTTAAAGTGTTTCGAATAAAATTCAAAACTTAAATAATAACATTTATCGTGAGGCACCTCATAATTATTATTATGTATTTAGATTTTAATAACTATAAGTTACTTAATTATTCAGAAATGTAATTTTTAATTATAATTTCTTTTTCAGTACCTAAATTACTTTTCTGCGTCATGCATTAAAGTAATGTAGGTACCCATTTTAATTTTAAAAACTATATTCACCATGCAGAGATTCCAACTTAGAGCTAATTCAAAAACATTTTAAACATCAATTAAAAGAAATCACTAACAATAACAAAAAAACTCACCGATATAAATAAACTGTACGCCACAGTATCCTTCGCTGAATGCGGTCAGACAGTCGTGTTTATTTACTTGAATTAACATAAAGTCGCGAATTTTCGATCAGCCTTGGCTGTCGTCGGGTTAGCGCGGTCGTTTCTCGCGGTGCACAGCGGTCGAATGTGGTGCTGACTGTACCGGGTATAACAGCCACAGATTAACACAGGCGTGGGCTTCCCGCGAAAACCGGTCTCCTTGGTTACAAGAATGGCCAAACACAGCAATCCGTTTCGCGCAGTATTTGCATACAAAGTGGCTAGACCACGGGCATTACCATTGCATTTATTGGTAATTAGTTGCATTCGTATTACTAATAAGTAAATTAGATGCTTATATTATTGAATTATATAGCAGTAAAGAGAGGAGGAGGAGGAGCTCGATGGCGCAGGTGCTTAGTGCGTTCGGCTGCGATGGTTGATGTTAAGCAACTTTCGCAGTGGTCGGTCATTGGATGGGTGACCAAAAACTTCTATCTTGAGTTCCTCCGTGCTTCGGAAGGTACGTTAAGCCGTTGGTCCCGGCTGCATCTGCAATCGTTAGCACCCGCCAATCCGCAATGGGCCCGCGTGGCGGGTCATGGCCCAATCTCCCTATTCCATCCATAGAGAAGGCCTGTGCCCCAGCAGTGGGGACATTAATAGGCTGATGACGATGATGATGATGAAAGAGAGGAGACTTCAATATTATATTCGCATTAGGGATTTGCTCCTTAATGTTAATGGTAATCCAAATTCTAGTACTAGTCAATCATGAGATAATCATAAAATTTGCTTGCTATGAAAACTAAACGCAATTACCCCAGGGGGGCAATGGCCTAACCGGATCGCTAGTGTTACCAACACTATCACTTACGATATAATTTTGTAATTTCTGACCCCCGAAGGTTTACAAATGCCTCGCGCTCTTTTTTTCTTTTGCATTGGTAATAACAATATTAAAGAAAATGAGCGTGAGTTATTTGAAAACCATAGACGGTCAGGAATAACAAAATGAAATAGTAAGTGATAGCGACAGCCATAGCGATTTCGTTAGGCGATTGGCCCCCTGGTCCCACTAACATGTCTCCCTGTGGGTCCACGGGTTTTTTTTACCAGTTGTCCCACCGTTCTAAACAGTGTTCGCCAGTGGGCCTGCGGGTAATTTATTTATACCACCGCACCAAGTGTTGACATGCATTAAAAAGCTATAGCTAATTTAAGCAAGGCTAGAGACCAGAGTCAAGCTTACTTTAATATATACGCTATTCCGTTCAAGTGGACGTGAGAACTTTATTGTAATGTTGACCACCTCACAGAGGTTTATCAAAAAAGCTGACTCGAGCTGAGACCTATTTTATTTCTGCTCTACATAAATAAATAACAGAAGTAACAAACCATAAATGAACCTAATATGCTGATGATATATCAATAACAATTAAAGCAGCGAATGACTTTAAAAGAAACATGAATCAGGCATTTATAATATTATTGACATTATTATTAAATAATATAAAAATAATCATTTAAATATCAATCTTGACAAATCATATTTTATTCAAATCAATAAATCAAAATATAAACAATATAATTTTACTCTCAATGTGACAAAAATAAGTGAAGTACGAGACTAAAATGTCTAGGTATAAGGTATAACCATTGATGAACACTTAAATTGGAAATTACATGTAGATAACTTATGTAATAGGATAAACAAATTCGTGTATGCTCTTGAATGTGTTAAGAACGTAACTGACAAAAAATGGCTATAATGTCCTATCATACCTATATAAAAGTAAACTACTAGTACTAAAAAGAATATAAGCAAAAGATGAGTTTTTGAAAAAGTACTAGTTACTATAATGCCTAATTGGCATGGCATGTTATCATGGCATCTCATTTCTTTTTGTAGATAATCCTACTTTTAAGTTTTTCATTTTCTAAATTCAATTCGCGTTCTATTCTAAAATAGTAATAATGTAAAATTAGAATCACATATAAATAATATATGTGATTCCAATTTTACATTATTATATCAAGATACTTATCAACACCTAGCTATTATAATATAGTGCAATATTTATATAACACATAATACACTGATTCATTAACTGCAAATGTAACTTTGATATCCTACATATTTATGTGAGATTACAAAGTTATTCATGCAGTTAGTATATCTAGAAAACTGGACCAAAATTGCAAAATATTTTAGTTTTTCCTTGATTTATACACTAAACACTAACTGTATTCTAAAGTTGAAGCTTCTATGTCTGCTAGAAGTGCCTTAGAGTTTTGATGATCGGTCAGTCAGTCAGTCAGTGACAAAATTAAGAAACTTTGGCTAGTTATAATTCTTAAACTACTGACTCAAATTTAATAAAATTTGAAATATACCGAGCTTATACTATGCCTACTTGGTTACTGAAAATTTAAGCTTCTAGTTTTATCGCCAACGAAGTTATAGGGAGTTGAAAATGGCCTGAACTAATTCGAGAAAAGGATGGTACGGCCGTGCCGCTGTTTTTGCTCGACTTGGCGGGGGCACTGCCGTGCCTCAAGAAATTTACATGCATTAGATATATAGGTAACCCTTTGATTTATCTTTACACATTTTTGCGAAAATTGAGGCCCATCTGTAGCCTTGCCCCTGGTAGTAAGGTCTCTATATAGACATATAGAGACTATTAATAAGACTATTAAATCAATCGTTTAGATCACCGCAAGGTACTTAATAATCCCCTCGTTATTAACTCACTGAAGTGACAAGACAGCGGTATAGACCGTCTTATAATCTTAACTAAAAATTTTGAAATAAAAAAAGTAAATTTAAAAAATCCGAAATACCTGACTTCTTAAAAATATTACTCCAAATAAAAACTGAAAAGAAAAAAACAAGTCCAGTAGTTAATAATTCTGTCAAGTAAGGAACAAAGCTACTTTATTAGACCCATTAGATATTCCAGAATGGATCAAATCTTTACAATAATGGGTCCCGACGTTTAAGGTATCGTTGCTTCTTAACATAACAGAATTATAGACTACTGGACTTACTCTTTTCAGTTTTAATTGAAGTAGTATTTAGGCAGTCGGGTTTTTAGATTTTTTAAATTTAGTTTTTTTGATTTTTAAGTTTATGTACTCGCTCACTCACTTATTACGTGTTTTAATACTTTTTTTAAAAACTCGACGTTTCGCATCCTTTCCAGGATGCGTCGTCAAGGAATATACGCATTTGAAAAGGGTGCAATGCGTGAGTTCTGTAAAAAAGTATTAAAAACGCATTTTAAATCATACCATGTTAAACACTCTTTAAAATTTCAATTTCCATGGAAATGCTCAATGTAATGCAATCAAATTCTATTTTGACAGATATTTAAAAAGTCAAACCACAATTATATAGGTATTAAGTTTGAAAAAAATAATCATTTGAAGACCGATATCCCTATTCCTTGCTGTAGGACCTCAGGACTGAACTATGAATACATGCATGCTAATTTTTGAATAACCAAAGTGAAATAAAACAAAAAGCAAAAGCTTACTTTAACAATTTAATAACTTAAAGTGACGCCTTCGATATAATTATATTTTCGAATATAATTATATTTTATAAGAAAGACAGAATTGTAGTAACTGTACATATTGCAATCAATCATCGTTTACTATGTCTAGTATCCTAAGCTTGCATATCTTCTTAACCTCGTTAATACCAGTGGTAATCTCTTGGTCGCGATTGTTGTTGTACCGCCGCTGCAAGCCTTCGATTATAGACTGAACTTTATTCTCGCGAGCGCAGATGATAAATGGGAAACCAAATTTATCTTTGTATCTAGAATCAAATAATAGCAAGTTAGTACAACCTACCTAAATAAACATAATTTTGAGTACCTACATAATATTTATCTTCATCATCATCATCATCATCAGCCTATTAATGTCCCCACTGCTGGGGCATAGGCCTTCCCTATGGATGGAATAGGGAGATTGGGCCATGACCCACCACGCGGGCCCAGTGCGGATTGGTGGGTGCTAACGACTGCAAATGCAGCCGGGACCAATGGCTTAACGTGCCTTCCGAAGCACGGAGGAGCTCGAGATAGTAAATTTTTGGTCACCCATACAATGACCGACCACTGCGAAAGTTGCTTAACTTCAACGATCGCAGCCGAATGCGCTAGCCACCTGCGCCATCGAGCTCCTCATATTTATCTTACTCATCCATATACTATGCCCTTATCTTAGGCGACTCTCACACTGCCTACACACTACTCTGTGTTGTGCAGATCTGCGTCACTGCAGATTTCGCTGCACATACCGATTACCGCTACCGCATTGTACTAACGGGGCTGCTTTTTGATGTGTAACATGTATCCTCTCGCTTTCGTGCAATTTGTGGGAGTGATTACGTGAAGTGGGACGGAAGTGTGTAACAGGAAGTTTGGGAAGCGCGCGCTATTTGATTTGATTTTAGAACATACTGTTCAAATCGCTTATTCCTTTTGTATTAGGTTTTATTTCTTTTTTTACTATTATAAGGTGAGGCTTCAAATGTTACACATCATACGCGACTACTGTAAAGCTCGCTCGTTTTTTTATTCATACCACAGCAGCTTGCGGTAGTGATAGTACATTATTAACAATGTTTAATACTGCAGAACTCATTCAGGATGCTGCAGTTATTATCTGTTTGGTTATGTTTAAGGTAACCATTATACCAAAAAACCAAACAGATTGCAGTACATTGCAGTGTACTAAAAATGAATGTCAAAATTGTGACTTTTTTTTCATTATTAATATAATTCACTAAATACAATTAATTCTTTATATTACACATGGATAAATGATAACGTAGACGAGTTCTAGTTGTTGAACTAGGCGTATTTCAATATTTTCAATACAAAGACAACGTAACAACAAGCGCTCTCGCACTTCACAGCGTAGTGCGTAGTAGTGTGATAATCGCCTTATCCCACGCAAAAGCGACCCTAGCGGCCAAAGCTGACAAGAAGTACTAGTAATAAAGCACTGTGTACAATGTCCTGTGCTTTGAATGCATTGTACTTGCTACGCTTTCAAAGACTCCACTGTGCTACAGAGTTTCAGTACAAAAAATATAGATGTCGCTACTCGCATTACTTGAGAACGAACCACGGATTGCTATTTAG